CAAACTCAGTACCTTGAGCTTGCCAGGGAGGCATCGGCACCATTGAGCTACATCCCCAGCTCCCCAATTGTTTTCCCATTTTGAAGGTTGTCTTTTCACTCTGTTAATGGTTTCCTTTGCTGTGCAGAAGCATTTTAATTGGGTACAATCCCATTTGTTGATTCTTGGCTTTATTTCTCATGCAAGCAGGGTTCTGTTCAGAAAGTATCTGCTTACTTCTATATCATCTAGAGTTTTATCTATGTTGTCCTCCAGGAGATTTAGTGTTTCTGTTTTAATATTTAGATCTTTGGTCCATTTTGATTTTAGTTTAGTGCACGATAAGAGATATGGATCTAGTTTAAACTCTGGCACTTGGATAGCCAGCTTTCCTAGCACCATTTGTTAAAGAGGCTAACTTTCCTCCAGCAGCAGTATCTGGGTTGTCAAAGATAAGGTAAGCTGAGTAAGCCTGAAGTTGTTTCTGCATGCTCTATTCGGTTCCATTGATCCACAAGTCTGGTTTTTGCTGATATCATGCTGTTCTTATCACTGCAGCTTTGTAGTATAATGTCAAATTTGGGATTGTGATGCCTACAGCCTTGCCTTTGTAGCCCAGTCAAATTTTGCTATTCTAGGTCTCTTCTGGTTCCATATGAAGTTTTGGATTGTTCTCTCTCATTCTGTAAGGTATGCTGTTGGTATTTTTTTTTCTTTAACAGAACAAGTTTATTACTCCCACTCAGTAGTTCCTGGGGGCTTTGATGTTAAGTCTTACATAATTCCAGAAATAATAGGAATCTTTTTAATCTCAGTGACCATCTTTAACACCACCCCCACAGGGATCTCATTACCAGGTGTTGCAGATGTACCAGTCACGAAGTCACTATTTTTGATTGAGATCATGTTAAATCTGAAGAACAGTTTTCAAAGTATGACCATTTTGACTATATTGGTTCTGCCTATTGAGGGACAGGGATTACCTTTCCATTTTGTGATGTCCTCATTGATCTCCCTTTGCAGAGTACTGCAGTTTTAATTGTAGAAGTCCTTCACTTCTTTGCCTAAGTTACTTCTTAAGAATTTCACTTTTCTTGATGCTATTATGAAAGCTATTGTTTCCTTAATTTCTCTCTTGGTGAATTTATTACTGGTGCACAGGAATAGTATTGATTTTTGAGTCTGACCAAGGATTCTCTCCAGGAGACATGGCAGGTGCTTGAACTGGAGTAATTTACAAACCTATTGAAGGACTCACATAGGAGCAGAATCCTGTGTCTCCCTGCACTTCAGGGCACCCACTTGTCCATTTCACTGCTTCATTTCTCCCTGAAGGCCTCTGGAGTCCTCAGCTTTCACTTTGTCTCTGTACATTTGGTCTCTTTTTCCTGTGAGCCTTGAGCTGAGAAAGTGCAGATTGTCCCTTGCCTTCTCTGCATTATGTTCTCTCTTCAGTTTCTTTGTAGGTCATAATTTTTCTGTCACATCCATTTCACTTTCCAGGGATCTACTTTTCTTTTTCTTTTTTTCTTCTTCAAGTTGCTATTTTCCAGTGTCTTGATTCTGAATCTCAGAGTCTGAGATGTTGTTGCTTATCACTCTGCCATTTTTCCAGAAGTCTTCTCTGCTATTTCTTTAACTCACCTAGTAATGGTGCTAGCTGAAAGAGGAACACATGCTACTTTTTGGACTGCAGCCTTTCCTGAAAGTTTACAACAAATGTCCTTATCAGCAGGGAGAATCAACTCTTCATAAAGAGATCCTTATTTTTAGCAATGTAATTGGGTGCTAAGATGCTCTCACTGCAGACACATTTGGTAAAGAAGTTGCCTTTGTGTGTGAGGTTTTGTTTTGTTTTGTTTGCTTGTTTGTTTGTTTGTTTTCTACCAGGGATTGAACTCAGGACTCTGCACTTTCAAGGCAGGTGGTGGCACCATTGAGCTAAATCCCCGGCCCTAGTTGCCTTTGATATTTGCTTCTGTTCTTCATGTTTATGGATTTTTTTTTTCTTTTGAAAGATTTGCCTTTTAACATAGGGTATTTAGGTGCTAGCTTCAGCAGCACATATAATAACATAGGGTATTTAGTGTCCAAGTGATAAAACAGCTTTGAAAGTTTAATTTGTTTATTTAACAGCTGGTTGCCACAATATTATGCAAAGCAGGCCTGAAGTATGTGAATCACCTGTTGCAATGAACCTGTTATTTATGTAGGACTCTTGGCATTTTCTTTTCAATGGTGCTTTCTTCTTGTTGGCCCCTTACAGTTTTCTTCTGTCTTCTGATTGGGTTTTTCTCTATTTCAAAGAAACTCTCCAGTGATATTTGTTCTTTTCCTCATTTTAACTAGGGTTAGCTTGTGGACTTACCAAAGCTACAACTGAGACACAACTGCACATGTGGGAAAGATGTGCAGATGATAGTGGTAAAGAAAATAAGGGGCAAGCCATGCAAAGAATAAAACGAGGGCTGAGTTCTTATTTAATGCTACCACCAGATACAACTTAATTGTCATTGCCATTCACTGATGGGTTTTGTATGAATCTGAACGCAACAGATTTATTCTGATCTCCATGCAGTCAAATCTCTCTGCAAATGTTAACCTGCATTTGCAGCTGCTCCCCAATGCTAACATTACTGCCTCAGCCGCAACTCAGGTCATCAGGCATTAGCTTCTCATAAGGTGTGCACAACCTAAACCTCTCACATGTGCAGTTCAAAGTAGCTTTCCCATTCCTATAGGAATGTCACTGCTTATCTGACAGGAGGCAGAGCTCAGGTGTAATTCATGTGATGGGAGTGGACATAAATACAGGTGAAGCGTCAGTCACTAAACCTGCCACTCACCCTTGCTGTGCAGCTCAGTTCCTTCCAGGTTCCCAAGTATTCCTGACATAGGAATTCAAACAACTCAGTGGGGAGAAACAAAATTTAAAAACACACACAAATAATTCATTAAATGAGCAAAACACTTGAGTAGATATTTCTCAAAAGAAGACATAAAAAGAGCCAACAGGTGTATGAAACATTCTCACCATCACTAATATGAGAAAATTCAAATCAAAACTACAATGAAATATGTGACTCCAATAAGAATGGCTATTATAAAAAAAGAGAGGATATAATGAATTATGTCAAAGAAATGAATAAAAGGGAACGCATACATTATTATTCAATTACTATAGAAATGATGGGAAAAAAAAATGGAAGTTTAAAAAAAAAAGGTCTACTATCTGATCCAGAAATCTCATGACTGGGTTTATATCCAAAGAAAGTGAAATTAGCATGTCAAAGAGACATTTGCAGGGCTGGGGACCCGAGTTTGATCCCAGTTACCAAAAATAAATAAATAAATAAAAATCAGTTTAAATGTCTTTCTTCAATAAAAGAGAGAGACATTTGTACTTCCATGCTAATTGCAGCACCATTCATGAAGAGCCAATAAATGGAAATAAAATAAGTGTCCATTGGCTGAGGAATAGATACAGAAAATTTAGTAGCTGTATTATGGAACAAGGCCCCCATAAATTGCGTAGAAAAATGTACAAGTTATGTAGAAAAATGTCCAGCAAATATTTTTTCTCAGGGAAGTACATGATGGAAGGAGAGGGCTTATGACCAAAAATCCTCTAAGAAAGGGACAGTTGTCTTTATTTGAAAGTTTCTTTGATAATTGCTTGAGCATAGAAGCTGACATCTAATAGGATCAGATTTTGGTAAACTATCTGCCAGAGGCAAGGATATGATTTTATTTTGTTGTTTCACAGGGGAGATGCAAGAGGAGAAAGAAAAGATCAGAATGGTAGGATGGAACCAGATGTTATCTCCCTGCCAGGCCTATCACTTGAGGTAAGAGGGAGATTTAACAGGATTAAAACTCAATTAAAAATATTCTGCCTTTATGATATTTCAAAAAGTATATAAAAGATTCTAAAATGTCAAGTATAATTATCTTTCATAATAGATAAATATTTTTATGTTAGAGGAAAGAAAATAGAAATAAGAAAAAAAATACTATTATATATAAGGCCTTCCCCAGTTTTTGTGAACAGCCTGGTGAATATTCTTTGTTCCACTTATTGGAGTTAAAATAACTGACTCTTCTGCTATCCCCCACTCTCCCAAGCATTTCTTCATACTTCAGCTTCAGCAATTCTGAATTATTCACAGTTTCCTATTCATTGTGTCTGCCTTTCATTGTGTCTGCTGTGTGAAATATTCTCTGCCCACCTTCCTTTCCCAACTCTCTATTAGCAATGAAAAAATTCCTATTTTCGTGCTTCCTACTGCCTCCCATTGGCAGGACTGGATCCCTTGTATCTATCAGGTTTCAAGTGGAAAGTCACAGAATTTAGGCTGTCTCGAATCATCCAGAATGTCAAAAATCCCTTCCCACAAATCTCCATAGTTCATTTCCATGCTTTACCTTTCCTGCTCAATTCCATAGTTAATATAGTATTTATTTTACTTAACTAGTGCCTCTTTCATTAGGATACAAACTCTACCAAGACAGAGATTTAAAAATTTTTGCCATTTGTTGTCTACTGCTCTATCTCCAGTGCCTAGAATAGGACTCGGCACACAAGGAAATGATGGGTGGCTGACTGAAATCTCAGCTCAGGGGCCATTTTCACCTGAAGCCCTCAGGCAGCTTTAGTTGTTCCTTGACCCATACTATCCTGTATATATTGTCTCTTCTATTGTACTTGTTTGTGTGTTCTATTCTCTGAGCTGAAAACTACTTTAAAGTTAAAGGCCTTGCTGGTTCATCTTTGAATCCTTCATATTTGGTACCGTTATGATTTAATAAATTAATCATTTACAGATAAGAAAACTGATGCTCAGAAAAGGCTAAATAATATCTAAGAACACAAGCAGTAGGAAGCAGAGATAAGCTACCAATGCTAACATGTGTCATGCCCTTTCTTTTATATTTTCTTGAAAATTTACCCTTTTTATCCTGTACCTTTGCTGTATGTTCTGTCTATCCCCACATTTTCTATGTATCCATATTCTACTTACATGTTCAAATCCCATATGTTCAATGACATCTTCCTCGATGACTCTTTAATGTCTTCCTTTTTTACAGGAAGCTCCCAAAATAGCTCTAAGGGTAAATGGGAAAGGATATCATGTGAGGTGTGTGGTTATGGAGAATAGCTTATCTAAGTCCTAACTGCGTTCCACAATCTAAACTTGGGCTGTTGGCTGAAAGGTCTGTATGTTTTGTAGGTAACGAACAAAGAAATAATCATCCTCCAATGGTCTGCAATTTCAGGTAGCCCTCTCTCAGAGTCTGTGTTTCTCTCCTAAGGATTTATGTGGCTGGTGATGGATGTGACTCTGTGCATGATTTGACTGAACTGAATACCCCAAGAGAAGCACAATATGTTGCAAGTCTCCAAGGGTTATCTGAACTAAGAGCGTCCTCCTCACCTTGGGATTAGCATTCTGAACACCGGACGTTTTTTCCCTTCCCTTCCTCCCTTGAGTTTCAGTTCGAAAAAGCGACTTCAAGCTTTCCCAAACTTTGACTCCTCTGGTGTTCCTACATGAGAAGCAAAATCTTATTTCCTATGAGTCATTTTCTCATGTTTCCACATCCAAAGTAGAATCTTTACTTTCATTGGCCCTTAGTTGTGTCTACATAAAATATTAAAATATCTATAATTTGGGAAGCAGTAATGAATTGAAAATGTAAATCTGGTATTAAGACTCTTTGGGTTCAAATCCCATCCCTATCATTTAATCAGCTATGTGACGTTAAGTTCCTTAACATATCTGTTTCACTTACCTCATCTTAAAATAGGATCTTGTCACTTCAAGACGTTGCTGTATTTGATTTTTTTCAAAAAACAGCAATTAATAAGTGGTAACAGCTTTCTGATGGCCTGTTATGCACTAGTGATTATGTTAGCTCCGTACATGCACTTATCACATCAGCCTGAGGAAATTAAGAAACAGAGTTTAGGGCTTATTACATCCAAAACACATCCGAAGAACAAAGTATAGTGAGGCTTAGTTCCGTCCCCAGGAACCAGCGGGCCTCACGGAAGCGACCACGGCCCTGAAGTTAGAGGAGCTTGTTTCTAGTCGGATCCTATTACGGGGGCTCCAGAGCGCCGCGCCTGCGCGCTCAGCCAGTCGCCGAGCTGACCCTGCGGACGTGCGCTCAGTTCCTTCGTGGCGCCATGGCGGTGAGTGGTACATCTGCTGCGCCTTGTCAGCTCCAGGTGAGTGCGGAGTCCTTCGGGAACCTTAGTGTGAGGTGGAGAGATCTCCGGGGAGAGTCAGGTTGGCTTTGATCCCGCTGAGGTTCCAGCAGGACCCGGGACAGGGGTGCCAAGACCTCAGCTCCTTTTAGCTTCTTTTCCGTTCCCATCCACTTCTCCGTTTCGAGAGTGTCTGACGGGGAGCGGGGATCTCTAAGAGAAAAAAAAGAAAGGAAGCTTTTCTCCCGTTGTGGGTCTCAGTATTTATGGCGCTCGCTCTCTCTCTCTCGCTTTTTAACTACCGTCAGAGGAGTTCACCCTTGTCCTTCCTTTCCTGGTGTGGGATGTTGGGTCTCCAGTCTCTGGTTCCATCCCCTAAATGTTCATTGATTCTGAGCTGTTAGGCCAAGCACTAGCTGTCTGATGTCAGCATCTTTTGTTGAGTGTTGTGGGGGGCAACAGTGGGCCAAAGGGAGTGGGCAGCACGAGCTAAGAAAAGGCAAGGCTGTGGTAAATGCGTCAGAGATTATTCCCCAACTCAAAGTTGTCTGTGCTTCTCTCCTGTCTTTTCTTGTTCATTTACTTTTTTATATTCTCACATCTTTTTAATGGTTCATAGGTAAGACAAAATTCCACTTTGAGGTAACATTGGATTTTATTGAGGTCAGCTTTATTTTTTTCAATTTAAGAAAAAAATATCCATTTTTAGCTTGCTTTTTAAAAAACAGTTGTCCACCCCCCAAAATACTCTCTCACACACACACACACACACACACACACACACACACACACACACACACAGTGGAGAGGACAGAAAAATCATGTGAAATGGGATTTAGAGCTTTTTGTGAACCCTTGTATATAAGTACATTGGAGATTGCACTTGGAGTGTGGAAATTCCTGACCTTTCACTTATAAATAGGAGATGAGATCACCACTTGCCATCAATTATTCTAACAGTGTAGGGCTCCTAATACGTATTTTCCCACATAATAGGCAAGTGTAGAATTGAGTCTTAGTGCTGGTAATGGCTGATCAACCACAGACCCATTTTGGCCTGAAAGCTATAGGTAGCAAGCCCGTGTTATGATTAGAGATAATTTTGTGTGGTTCTAGAGTAGTTTTTTTCTAGAGTAGTTTTTTCGGGGGGGGGCAGGTTCCTCCCCAAACAATTATTAAGGAAGCATACAAAAAGAATTGAAGCCCACATCCAGTTCAAAATATTATGGCCTGACCTTGATTACTAGGCTTTGCCTGCCTGGCCTCATAGAGGGAAGCTTCCTCCCCTACCAGCCTTGGTGCATGGCCAGTGCATTGATTGCAGTTTTCTGGAGGGAATTGCAGTCATAGACTCTCCTCTCCCCTGTTGCTAGCCATGTTCACACTGTAACTTGTTTCTTTTTTCATTTGGATTTCTTCCCACAAGTACCTAGTTTAAGCACTTTTCTCCATTTCTGACTGAGGTTCTTTTTGCTCCTAGCCTTTCACCTTCCCTGTTGTGACCCTTGTAAACCAGAAAAGCATCCATTAAGGGTAGGAGCCTTTTGTTAGGAGCTCTTCTGTAAGAAGATTCCCTTCTGTGCATACTATCCCTCACCTAGTGTCCCGTTTAATGGACCACTGAGGAGCCAGTGCTTCTTTTTGCTTTTACTCTGTTGCACAAGTGAATGAAGTTTGATTATTACTTTCAGTTTGGCTCATTGTCCTGATTGACCACCTTGACACATAATCACTCAACAGGAATGAAATAAATTGCCCAACAGGAATTAGATAAATTGCTGAGTTTTTAGATGCTCACTAGATTTTTTAACTTAATTTTAATCCATACGACTTCTGCTCTGTGAAGCATGTTTAGGCTTTTTAGAGACTGTTCATGGTAATTTCTCTTGTACAATATAGCGAAGATGCATATTCATGGCACTAACAGATAATTGTTGCTATGGTTTGTTGTTGGATTATATGATGTATTTCATAAATTAATACAGTGGCTTATGGTCATTAATTTGCATGGATTTGTGTAGCATTTTCTGTTTGACTTGTCGTTAGATGATTTTTAAGTAAATATTTTGGGTTAACATGAATAGTAGAAAACTGGACGCTGATTCTCATGATCTTTATCACCTAATAGATTTCTTGGTCACTGAAATAGGTAATTGATTTTATTATAGGTTCCTCTGTATCAAAACACAGGAATAACTTTCACAAACTATTTTTTTTTAATTTTTTTCTAAAAGGTTTATAAAACAATATTTACTTTTGCTATATGGTATGTGTTCTGGTGCTTTCAACTTTATTTTATTAAACAAAATGTTGTTCATGATCCACTAAGTTAACTTTATAGTTAAATGAGGTTTTAAAAACACTGTGCTAAAGCAGCTGTAGAAAGTTTGTGCTCATTTTTTTTTTTCTGTTTGTAACTCAGATGATTGAAGAAAACTGCAAGGGGGTACAATATTTGATTTTGTGTTTAAGGTATCTTCTCAGAGAAGATAGCTAACTAAAGAGCATAATATGTGTTGGTTATTTGCCAAATCAGCTGACAAAAGAATACTTGAGTTTCTGGTTTTTGTTTTTTTATCTCAATTAGAAGATATATTAGAATGGAAGAGCTGGCATAGCTATCCTTTCCCCCCCCCATTGTCTGCCTGCCTTATTTAAGGGCAATCCACAGTAGAAGAATGAAGACAAAATCAACTACTCTTTTAAAAAAGGAGAACATAGTGTGCAAGATGGTTGTGAGAGTGCCTGTAAAACTTTTGTGTGTGTCTTACAGAGGCATTTAGAGAAGTTATTTTTATCTTTATGTTATCTCTTAAGACCAAAATGACCCTTTTACTATGTTAGCTGACAAGTATACCACACTCAACATTCATTATTCATAAATAAGTATGAATAAGTATTTACTGATAAGTATTTATCAATCTAATTTTTCTTTGTTTAGTTGATTTTTTCAAGAAGTATACACACACAAAGTAGAACCGAGAAATAAAAACTTTAATCAGTAGGTTTATCTCTTAGAAACTCTAAATAAGTTATTAAACAGGAATAAAATTGTAGATTTGATTAGTGTTAGCTAAATAATATTTTACATTTATTGCTTCACAGTCTCCAAGCAATGTATAAATGTAAGGCATTATTTAAATGCATTATCTCTGTTGATTTGCACAGCAACTTCGTGTAGGAGGTAGTCCAAATGACATTTTCAGCTCTTTACAGATGGGGAATCTGTATTTCTTACCATGACCAAGATCATAAAGTGACAAATTCAGTACTAGAACTCAGGTCTTCAGAATTTTCTCCTACTTGACTTTGTTCACATAAGGAAGCAACTGAGGGTAAATAGTAGTATTGTAGCTAAAAAAAAAAAAATCTAACTTGAATAAGTAAGACATTTCATTCTCAGATCATATCTACAATATGTGCTATAATTAAATATAAAGACATCTTATTTTTAGTATTATATTTCAATTCTTAACATTTTACTTTTCTAGCCAATTTTTTAAATGCAAAACAACTAAATATTGACAAATAGAATGAAATAGAAAAGTTGGGATCATAAAGCCTATTTAATGTTAGGAAATTCAACTCAGTCTCCCCCTTCCCCAAGGTTTTATTGGGAATGAACTGCTGGACTACCTTGAACAATGGCAAGAGAGACCAAAACTGGGGTGGGTGGGGTTTATATAGTGCAGTGCAGTGGGGGAAAGTATCCTGAGAATTGAGCAACAGGAACCTGGGTGATTGGAATGGGAGGATCAGGTGGATAGCAGGGTGGAGCAACAAGTTAAGTTTTACTTCTCCAGAGGGGCTAGGTTTCACTCCTCTCCCCTCCCCGCCATGTGGCTCATTTCCATAAGCAGGAACTATTTCAGAATGGAAGCCATTTTATTTTTTTTTCTTTTTATTGAGTTTATTGGTACAATCTAGGTATACAATACAGTTACATTCATCACTGGGATTCTGTACCTTTACATAATAGGACTTGATTTTCATGTTTTCCCCTTGTCCCTGCCCTCTCTTCCCCCCTCCTCCCCTCCCCATTTACAAACATTTTATTTCCATTTTTTCAGTTTCTCATATTTTTTCCTCTCCCTTATTACCTTTCCCCCACCCTTCCCACTTTCCCTACACCTTTAGCCCTTTATTTCCTATTTCACATTATTAATTATCTCATTAGGATCCTGTGTACTATTATAGTTTTTCACACCAAAGAAACTATTCGGCATTTCAGTTAAAGAAATCTCTGTATGAACATTAATCTTCTTGCTCTTGTAGTCTTATCTTATTCTTTTTTTCATTATTTAGAGAATACTTTATTAGTTTGTGTAATCAAACCCACGTAGATATGACCTTACATATTTAGTATGATGTGTTACCCCTGCACACATGGAAAAAACATAAAAATAAAAAAATTAACATTTCTAGACCAATATGGCTGTCCATTTCTGTACAATGCCAACTCAACACAGTAAATTGGGATGACTTTTTCCAAAGTTGGCAGCACCATTAAAGTTTCCCAAAATTCAATTTATATATATATGTAGATATATATATTTATATTTATATAAAAAGACTAATAATAGTATGTTATGCATCGATAGCAGCAACAGCTTTTGAAGGTTCTGCAGTCATCTGAACAAAATTATAGACATTCAGCACATTCCATTAAAAAAAAAAGCAAAACAACAACAACAAAAAAAGAAAAGAATATCCAGAAAACAGCAATGTTCTGTTGCTGTTGTGGTTCCTGGCACCATTTTTTTTATTAGCATCTTAATCATCATCTGGAAAGAGAACATTCTAGAGTAATATCAT